AGGTGGCTGGTGTTCAGGGACTTGCAGGAGGTATGGAAAGTGTATCCAAGCTGCTACAGGAAAGAGTTGGGACTAGTCTAAAACATTAGAGCTACTGGTGTGCAGAAGCAGTTGCTTAGCTTCATCCAATGGTGTAGATTAATTTACATCTCTGTGTTAGATCACTGTTTTCAATCATGATTTAAATGAGCAAGCAGGAAATCTGATTTAAGTCGACTTGTCAAGTTTTACATCTGTACTTTAGTTACCTTTCTGAAAGCCTTAGTGTAGTCCGTACCACCGCGGCTACCCTTTGCTAATATACTGAATATATCCTTCTATTTAAACAAGTATGCAGTTTACCATTTGCTTTGGTTCATATATTTTTCCCATTTTCTGTTAAAAAATGATGAATGGTGCTTTTCTTATTTGCTTGATTAATTTTTAACTTCTGATTTTCATCAGGCTACATTTAGATGGAAATTGGCATTCAATTAATGAACAAAACCAGCATTTAAAATTGTTTTCATTAGTGAAATGTGCTGGATATAGCCAAAAACTCCTTATCAAGCCTGTTTTGTGTTTAAAGCATACTGATTTTTGTAGAAACAAAGCAAGTATTATCAGCGGTTTATGAACTGAATTAATTGTTTCTGGTCACCATGCTCTTCAAGACTCGGTTTCTTAGAACTAAGAAATCTTGGTTTTTGAATCACAGTTTCTGGAGCTCCTTCTGTTCTGTTTTGCTTAATTCTAAGAAACTAAGTTCTCCATCTGAGTGAACATCTTGGTGTTGTCTGTGTGCCCCAGCTATGCAAGCCAGAAGCTTCTCTTCCCCAGAGCCATATTCCTCAGGCCTCCTGCCCCACCGCCCAGAGGAGTGTGCAGCTTGCTCTGTACTGTTCAGATCTGTTCAGCATTAGGGTGGACTAGTCCTGAGCCCAGCCCACAGATGCTGCTAGGGCAGAAGAGGTGGTCTGTGCATCCCAGACCTCTGAGACAGTTACTCACGAATTAGGCAGGGTGTATGGGTGTATGGACCATACATCTTGGACAGACTAGGTCACTATTTTAAGTAATTTTTTTTTCCACACTTCTGTCAGTTCCCAGGGCTGGGCTGATCTTGATGTTTTCTTATGTGGGGGGGGAAATAAAGTGAATAGGGAAGAGGAGAAAATTGTGTGGAATTTTTCATGTACAGGAGACTTTACTGATGTCAAAAACTAGTTGATGACTAATTCCATGACTTAATGAATGTTACAACTTCACTAACGACTGCACACTGCTTTAACATTTAGACTGAAAAGTATTTAAATTTATAACTGTACCGCTAAGGCCCTTAAAGTCATGAAGTAAAAAAGATAAACTGCAGGATGCTTTCTGAAGTCATTATAGACATATATTCTCCAAGATATATATACACATATATATATTTTAGTTTTCAAATTTTAAGTACATGTTTAAGCAAACTTGGCCTTGTTAAGGGAGTGAACGTTGAAGCTCAGATTCCACACAGTGGGAAATTAGTTCCCTAAATTTAGTGCTTCTAACATATGTTTAAGATCTAGGAATCTATTTCTGATATAACTTGTGCTAGAAGTTCCTGGAAAGCTCTATGACTTATGTGGCGTGGCATGGGGAAGATTAAATTATAGCTGATTTTCTTCCATCCTGAGATCCCCAGAAGCATCTGTAAGATTGATGGGTGGTGTAGTCATTGCATTACATTTTGATGTGTTTCTTTTGGAGGATAGTCTTCCAGTAAATACAAAAGGATTTTTAAATTATTGTAAGGAGGTGGACAGATAATAAATTGAACTTCATGTTATGATACTCACTTAAAAGCCTTAGCTAGATGTGATTTCTGCCAGAAGAAAAAAGAGCTGTTGTTTTTCATGTTCATGCTTTAAAACAAATCGAACAGTATGGGGTTTTGAGTGGTTAAAAATCAGTGTGGGTAAGGAAATGGTCATAACATCTCTAAATCCTGCGTGATGTTATACTGCAGGTGAGTTTGGTTATAAGTATGTGCCAATGTGTTTCTGCAGACAAGAATTTGAAAAATGACAATGTAGAAACAGTTCAGTATTGACAGATTCTCCACTGTTCCTTAATAAGCATATATCATTATTACACCAAAATGGAAGTTTAACATTAAAGAACCTCCCTCACTCACACAAAAATAATAAAAAAGGCCTTTAGGAAAAAAATAAATGTATCAAGAAGTCAAAATTACGAAAAGGTATGGGGGAGAGCACTACAGCGAGCTGACTGTACAGTTGGAAAGACACATGCACATCTTCTGTCTTTCATTGCCTTTGCTGCCCATGTTTCATGTTTAGGGGTGAGGCAGCAGAAAGGAATTTCAGTGGTGAATTGAATCTAGCCAAGAAAGTGGCTTGAAATCAAACTTTGGGAAGAAGAGGGGAAAACTGTGCTGCAGGCAGATGGGCAACAGAGGGAAGGCAGGAAATATCTGCAAACAAAAGTAATGAAGTATAATTTGTTTCTATGGTAGAGAAATGTGTCTGGAGGTGGGTTTACGTAGAAGCTGTATAAATTCTTGAAAACCCGGTCAAGTTACACGTTTGATTTGTAGCAGTGTTGTACGAATTAACTGCGAAGTTTATGTGCATCAGCTCAAAGTTTAGTTGGAAGAGAGTGGCTGGAGTTGCATGTGGGAGGGAAAACTTTGGCAGTGGACTTGAGCTGGAGCAATGTGTGGACAATTTAAGGCAGGGGTCAAGGAGATGAGTGAGCAAGGGGTGGCTAAGCTGTCTGCACCTGGACTGAAAGAGAGGCTGCCTCTACATTCAGTGCAGTTAGTAAGGGTCCTTGCCACAAAAAGTGGAAAAAACCAAATGCCTCATGAATTCGTATCCATTTAGAAACGATTTTCCAGAATGGTGAGATCAACCAAGCACCTACAGTAGAATTTCCAAATTACTGGAAATCTTACTGGATTCATAGTGAACATGCAAAAGGACTACTTATGAGTACAGCCACAGGACGTTTGTAATAATAGGAGGAGAAAATGAGTAATCTTCTGGAAAGCCGTTTAACATATATAGTGAAGTGACTGGTATCTTTCATTACAAATATGTAGTTTCAGGGCGTAGTTTTGAGATCAGTTTAAACGGATCTGTAGGCAGATTAAAAGGGGTGTTCCCACCTTTTCGCATGCCCTGACCTAATTGTTGTTGCTTCCTCCCTTGTTCCAGGACTGCTGCTTGTGTGGCGCTCTGGTTATTGGGGTCAGGAACGCACTGCCTGCCTTAAAACTCAGCTGGATCTGCCATCCTGCTGGCCACAAAGCTCTTGGGGCAGTGGGGAGGCTGGGTGTGGAGGGCTGCAACCTGTGTCCAGGGAAAACGTGTGCTTAAACCGGCACAAACTGACTTTGTGAATCCTGATGCCTTGTACGTGTGAGAACACAGGGTAAATTGTGCAACTGTTGCGATCACCTAAAGCAACTGGCAGAATGTGTTTCTATTCTCAATATCCTATTTTGGGGTTTCTTCACCTGGTACGTGGAGCTGTGCCTGGAATTTGTTTCCCCTGAGGTTACAGTTGACTTGTGTTTACCAAAAATAAAGTGGTAAAACTTGGAAACAAGCACTTTGTTCTGATTTGTTTACAGTTAACGCACTGGGACTTTGCTTCTCCTTGAAAGAAGTTGCTGAAATTTAAAAATAAGCGGAGATAGCTTTTTTAGGATTGCAGCTGCCTTTGTGCTTTGTGTTGCGTATAGCACATCTTTTGCTGAAAATATCCCAGAAAAAGCTGCTTCAGTGAGCTTCTGTATGTGGGTCTGTATCCCTACCAAAATATACAAGTGAGCAAAGCTAAATGAGCACGGTTGGTCCCCGCTTGCTGGTGCGCGGGCTGGTCTGCATGGTCGGCACTGAGAAAGTGAGGATGAGGATGGCTGCACTGTTTTCAAACACTTTTGTGGGAAACGGGCTTGTTGGCTTTGTCTTGTTGAGGATGAGCAAAACAGAGTTTGAAAACTCTTGAGAGAGGGCTACATAGAGGAAGAAATGCTTTAAAAGGGGGGTGAGGGGCGTGTCTTAAACAACACCTAGTTCAAAGAAAGGCTTGTGCGAAATGCTTTTGAGAAGTAACCCTGATGTAAGCAGATGGGTTAGTGGTGTGGTGGCATAGTGGGTACTCGGCGGTGCTCCGTTAGTTCAAGACGAGCTCTTCTGGGGCTGGTAAAATAGTTGTGGCTTATTGTGGCATACGTAACCCTGCGGTTCGATCATGGCTGTGCAGCACAGAGAGAGGATCCCAAGTGCTCTCCAGCTGGGGCCTCTTCTTGAAAGCAATAGGAAGCTGCAGGGTGCCTGATGTCCAGTGGGTGCATTAGGGTCCTCTCGCTTTTAAGAACACCTAATCTGGCATTTAATTTACTAGCCTGCTTGAGGCGGGCTGCCAAGGCTCCAACTGTTGCATAATGTTACGCAGGAGGAATCGCTGGCAGTTTTCAAGCTGGCTATCATTCCAGATCACTCCCACACAAAGGAAATTGTAGCATATATGTAACTCTGAGGCTTTTTATGCCGCTCTCAGCACTATCTAAAATTAAAAAAGTAACTAGGAAAACTAGAAAGAGGTTGCCTGCCCAGGCTGTAGCCCTTCTGCTTGTAGCAGCCTCATCTGCAGAGTCTTGCATGTGGAAGAGAATCCAGGCAGTGACAGGTAAGAACAAAAGCCTCACAAAGAAGCAACACCTGAATTGTTTTTTAGTTGTGTTTTTGTTTTTTTTTATAATCTCTAAGCATTAAATCTGCAAGTATTTTATAAAAGATGAAAGAATCCTCTTTTGGCTCAAACTGTTCTTTCATGTTCTGTGAATTTCGTGATTCCCAGAAAAAGCCAGACCCTTAATATTCAGACATCACAGGGCATCATAAGATTTCCCCCTCATTTCCATGCATGCCTATTCTGTACCCGTTTTCCTGTCAGTCTGACTTGTAATGTTCAAAAACATTCACTGCATATTTCCTTCTTCCCCACAGCAACAGCCCGAGTCTGAGACTGTTCATCTGTTCATCCCAGCCTTGGCAGTTGGAGCTATTATTGGCAAGCAGGGACAGCACATCAAACAACTTTCTCGTTTTGCAGGCGCATCTATTAAGGTATTATTACACTGACTAACTTTTTGTCTATTCTACATGACACTTTCAGCAAGTTTGCACAAGCCGTGTTTTTGTGAACGTCCTCCCCCACTCTGTGCTTAGAACGTGATGTGATAAATGGTACATTTGTTTATAAATCATCTTTTAATCTTCCTTGAGACAAGATAATTAGAAGTATGTTTTCAAACGTCTCCTGAGGTGTGAAATATAAGCTGCAAAGAAAACTACTTTGGTGGTCTCGATTTCTTAGAAACAGACTTAAGTCTTAATGATGCAGTGCTTAAAGGCTTTCTTCTTGCTTTCAGTAAAGTGAAAATTGGTGAGGTAAATTCCCCTCCTAAAAACAGCAGCACAGGTGAAGTCTCCTACTGCTGTGGCTGCTCTTGCTCTCTTCCAGATGGATCAGTCTAGGAGCTGTCAGGCCTCTGGGATTGGTGTGTTTTTTAACACCATGTTTACCTCCGCACCCTGCTTTAACATCCAGCCATTTGTGTGTTGACTGCCTCAATGCAGCTAAGGACAAGGCAGCTTGCAGAGGCTGACCTAATGGAAGTCTGAATTTTAGTCAGTTTGGTAAAATCCTCCTTGGCTGTGTATAGGGGTTAGTACCAGTTGCAGTTGTAGGAAGCCCTTGGGCTTCTGCATTCTGCTAATGCCATTGTAACCACAAGTATCTTCTCTAGATGGTTCAGCTTTCCTTCTTGTAAATAGTCAGTTCTGCTATTCTATGCTGTAAAGATAATGTTTCGGCCTAAATCAAAAAAGGAAAAAAAAAAGATATGTGGTACAGTGTAGCTTTTTTTATGTACTCTTACGTTGACATTTTCCTGCACTGACAAAGCAAACGTTTTTTTTCTCAGTTCTCTTTTTGCTCCGGAGATGTGGCCTGTTTAGTGAGCGCTATGTCAGGGATCTGCCAAAGGTCAGGGGCAGAGGGGCAGGAGCTGGCTGTGCCGAGTTGAGCTTGGTGAAGCCAATGAGGCTGCACTTGGCTTGGAAGGTGTTCTTCTAAGTGCACAGAGCAAAATAATTGGGGAACCCTGATGAATGAGTCTTGTGTGTGGTTTGCCGAATGCCGATGCATTTACTGGCCAGTCAACCAACTGGCATGCTGCCCAATTCCATCCTTTATTGAGCAGTACATTAAATAGTTGTTATACTACCCAGCTGGTTTACATTAGTAGAGCACTAACAAATGCATTTTTAGGAGAAAAAAGGAATAGAAGAAAGTGAGAGGTGTTGGGTTTTCTTTATCAAGTCTGTCTTGCGTGGAGGTGTGATGTATCACATGTATTTCCTCTTTCTCTCTCCTTTTCCATAGTCTGTAACTAAAGACTAAGTGGTCTGTGGAAGGTACTGCTAGGTGGAGAGAGAAATGTGAAATAACCAGGACCTCCAAGAAACCCGCCCAAACTAGTTCTTTAGTTTGTCCTTGGACGACAGTTTAGTGGAAAGGGAGTTTCCCCTGTTTCTCACGCATCTGGCTAACAGTGGCCTCAGGCTTCCTCTACTGGCTGGCACCCCTCTACCCAACGCATTTAACATACCTGTATTAATTGAAATTCAGTGAGGAGTTTGCTAAAGCTCTTGTCTCTTTGTTCCTGCAGTAGGAATAAAGTAAAGAAGAATTTTGTGGAAATAGGATTAAATATTAACAAAAGTGTACAGATACAGAGTATGCTTGCTAAACTGGGAAGCTGTATGTATGCTTATCAATAAAAATGCAACTTCATCTGCAATTGCACAGAACAATATGAAGCATCATGCTTGCTTCTGTGTGGAAGTATTAAATACGACAGTTACTACTAACATACTCAAAACTTCTGAACTTCCCTCATGTTGACCACCTGCCCTTTATCATAACTTTTGAGCAAAATATTAAATTATGGCTCATCAAGAATTCTGTACTTTTAGCTAAGAGTTGGGGGGAGGGCTGCCTGAGTCACTTTCAACTTGCCAGACTGTAGTAGTCGTACTTTGTGGAGGAAGCCTTTGTGCATGGCACCCTGACCTTGTGTTGAGTCGCGCTGCAGATTGTTACAGATGAAAACATTTTACATCCCCCTGCGTCGTCTTTGTGCTCATGATGAGCTTTGTAGATCTGATGAAATGCGTTAGCCATAAGTAAGACCAAATAAACTGCAGATGCACAGGGCTTCTGCATGAGGCTGCGGTGTCCAGTCTGTCACTTCAGAGGTGCACGTGGCAGCTGATGAGCTCAGGTTGTGTCCCTGTGCTGGGGGTCATTGCTCGGTAATGTGGGCTCAGCGTGGGGCTCCAGCAGACTGGATTATTCAGCAAAGGAGCTAGGCAGAGATTTCTGGGCTGTCTGCTGCACATCCTGTACTGCAGTGCTGGGACCTGTTGGGAACTGTTGGCATCTCCTTGGTTATAAGTTATTCTCAGAGTAGCCCTTCCTTCCTTTTGAAGGAGTTGGGATGAGTGTTACAGGTTTTGGGTGTGTGAAGTTGTCAGCTTGTAACTTGGCATATGGAAGATGGGTTGTTTTCCGGTCAGGAATGTAGAACTGTTTCTCTTGGAAGTTAAAAATTCACCACTTGGATACTATTTGTATGTATATAACTTCCCCTTCCAAGAGCAGACAGACAAAATTAACACTGAAGTCCCTTAGATTGCCCCTTCAGACATCCAAATGTTAGTTGGTACATGTCTCTCTCTCAGCCTTGTTTTAATCCAGCTGCTGAGAACATGACATGCTAAGATAAAAGCAAAGCAAGAAATGTCCCAGAACCTTTGAACATATGTAAGATGTAACGAAGGCTTGATGGAAAATGATTTTCCTAAAACTTCAATAAATGTGCTGGTGTTTGCTAAGAAAACATGAGGTGACTGAGAGGCAAGGTACAGTGTCCATTTTACATGAATGGCAATTATCAGGCTGAGCTCTGTGCAGTCAGCTGCCTCCAAATGTGCCTTGAAATTTCGCCCCACTAATACTTGTGTTCCAAAGAATGAATGGATTTAGTCTGTGCTTGCCTTTACCACAACATCATGTCGTATAAATGTACTGCTGTAAAATGAATGTGTATTTTTAGATATAGCCAGTTGGAATGTAGAAATCATAATGAAAAATAAATATGCAAACCAGATAACTAGTATGTAATGTCTTCTCCATCTTAGGGTACAACATGAATAATTATATAAACTTTCGTTAGCAAAATTCTTTAGTGAAAATGATGCATGGTGACTGGTAATTTGTCTGAAATAAACTACAGCTGTTAAATATGAATAACATCCCTACGCCAACAGCTAAGATGAAATCCTGTAGTGTTTAATATATTGCCCATTCAACAGCAGCTATGTAATACTAGATGCAACAATGGAAATGTCAGTTGTGATAAACAAAAGATTCATCCAGAATGTCAGAGGCTAGTTTGAATTATTTAATGCCACTGGAGTCTGAGAACAACACCCACAGAAATCTTACTTTTGTGGTGACATGAACTGCTAAAGACCCTACAGGCGTCTCTGTCTCAGCTCCGGTGGAGCTTAATTTTTATTTGGGTCACACAAACAAACGTCTGTAGATACAAACCGCTTGGAAACTGCGAACTCATTGTCCAGTATAGAGGAATGTTTTGGATCTGATTAGTTACAACAGTAAAGTGATCTTCTGTCTCAGGACAAATGCAAACTTTTGCTAATGGGCAAAACTTGTTAGAAAGACTGAAGTTAGTGGGTAGGGATGAGAATCTCAGTCTATTGACCATACTTGTCGTTTTGAAGGTTGTGTCTTGCATCACTCATAGTCACGTGGAAAAGGCTGTAGGATTTTGCCATATGTGGAAGAGTAGCTATGCCTTTAATTTTCAGAAGTAAATTCACTTATCGGTTAGCCAATTTCTCTGTATTTCATTATAGCTAATTAACGCACTTTAAAGAGAAGAACAAACCCATCATGACTGAAGTGTAATGCTGCTGCTGTAATGAATAATTTTTCACCCTTGAACAGAATGTGAGACTGAAACAGGGAGGAGGTGGCTTTAAACTACTCCTTCAAAAGACAGCTACCAAAGCTATGTTTATCCATTCCAGATTGCCCCTGCTGAAGGACCAGATGCCAAGTTGAGAATGGTTATCATCACTGGACCTCCAGAAGCTCAGTTCAAGGTATAATATATAAAAACTTGTCAGTCTGTAGTGGCCTTTGGACTGCAAGGGACAAAATTGAAAACAAAACACTTGGTTCCAAGCACCGTGTAATTCAGAATTTTAGTAAATGCTTAATTTTTCCTTTGTTTTTGCTGAAAGGTATCTCATATGAGTATGAGTAATACAGCTCTATCAGAGGCCATGTTCTGGTCACCTGAAAACTGGTGGGAGTTTCCTGTAAGTTAGAATCAAGTCTAGCATGAAAATATGGCCTTATTACATTCCTAATCTTTCCTTTTATCTACAAGCACAATAATTCAGCCTTTCTAGCCTGTCTTAATACATGCAACAGTTCAGTGTGTTAATTGAAATCACAAAGCTGACAAAATGAGAGACTGAGTCTTCCCAGGTTACTACTGTGTGCCAAATGGAAAATGCTTTTTGGGTGGCTCTACAGATAAATGCAAGATTTCCAATTGTGTTTCCACTACAGCTACAAGGAGATTCTCAACCTGATTACCCTGCTTGTGTTCAAATTGAGTTCTGGAGTGGTCTTCTGCCTTAAGTGCCAAGGGCTAAATCTAGTTACCCCAGCAGGAGTTGACCACGTTAGGAGTGATGCAGACAGCTTGGCGAAGCAGCCTGGCCTCATCACTTGAGAGTTCATGTCCTGGCATTGTTCCCTCGCCTGTTCTCGTTTTTGTCTTTTATATTTTTGCTTCAGGGCTTCTTGCAAGAAGGAGGTGCACAAACTTCAGGCATATCTAGAATCTGTTTCATTAATGCCTTTAGGAGCTTTGGAGAAGTATCAGGGCAGGTATTTTGCAGCGGTAATAGTGAACTAGATGCATTTAGGATTATTGCTCAGTTACCACATATATGTTTGAGAAGCTACTGAAGGCAAAGTGTAATTTAGAAGCTCTGCCTCCTTGAAGTTTTCTGTGTGCATGTGGGCTTGGCCACATAGCATGTTCCACGTATGGGGTGATCTGGGATTAGCACAAGGTCAGATTCTGGCTACCTTTTCTTTCCATGAGACATCAGTGAACTTAACCTCAAGCAGTAGCAGGCTGAAGTACATTTGGGCATCCCTTATCCTGACTTTTCAGTTAGGCAAAGGCTTGTCCTCAGGCATCCTCCCTACGATAGACTTGAAGTCCCACAGAGTTCTTTTGCCAGCTCTTCTCCCCAACCTGGATCATTCGAGGAGGCAAGTGTACCTTTTCGGCATCCCACATGTTGGCTAAAACACATCAGTCAGTCACTTCTCTACCCCGGGCTTCTCCTTGCAAAGAGGGATCAACGTACTAGCACAGCTGATGCTCCTGAGTACGCTGGCCTTGTGAGGCAGAGGGGTTCCTTCAGCTCCCATCCGTGTAGCCTTTCACTACGCTTTGAGCAACATCCTCTTGACTGAGGTGGGCAGAGGCAGCGTTCAGTCCGTCCTCCCATCATCACTGTTAACCTGAAGCATGCCTTACAGTCAGGGCCGAGCTTCACTAATGCTGTCCTTAAGCTCTGTTTAAGAGTCTTTATCTTTGAGCATAGGCCGTTGCTTGCTAGGCCCCAAGACTGTAATTGGGTGCACAACAACTTGAAGGGGGAAGAGCTGCTGCCCAGATGAGTAACCAGCTCTTGGAGAGGCGGCGTCATCCCAGAGCCTGTGAGTTTGGCATCCTTTCCCTCCTACATTGTGTTCTGCTCTCTGTGATTCATGTCCATGGTAGCTGCAGTGGCTGCACCCCTTTCTTCCTCAGCTGCAGTAGCCTGAGGATGTTGCGGTATGCAGGGCCATTTATTAGCAAGACAAGGGAAGAGAATATGCCACTGTTTACAGCCTCTGCTGCAGTGCTCCCTAGAGTTTAGGCATACCCGTGACACCAACACCCAGACACGATCATGTTGCCTTGGATCTGGGACATTTGCAAGCATTTCAGCCACTCTTTTACTACGAAGGAGCTGCAGCCCAGTTAGATTGTTTCATTTTCATAGGGACTTTTTCAAGGTCTGAAAGATTTGGAATGTTGGAACTACTATATTTTAAAAAGTCAGTATCCCACCTTGCTTTATAATTTAGCAGTAATGCCTGCTTTTTTCCTATAGTATCTCTCCCACTGAGCCCTGCAGCCTGTGCGGGTTGTCAAGGTGTTATGCACACAAGAAGCATTGCTATTGAAATAAAAAGGGCTACGCTGGCTAGTGTCTGTCTCTAACAAACGTGGAAATAGTTTCAAAATCTCCAGCTCAAGATGATGGCTGGGAGTAGTATTGTATCTGCTCTTGGCAAAGCCTTTTGAAGCGTTTTCCTGGAGCAGGAATCTCTGATGGAACCAGAACATGGTAGTTGTACTGAGTTTTTGTATGGCTGCTTTTGTGTCATCTTTTGTCTCGCTGGGAAGATGATAGATTTTGTCTGCTGTGACAGGGTCCCACGACCTGCGGTATCCCGTCTAGGTCAAAGCCACGCGCTACAGATTTCTCTCCTCTTCAGGTAGGGTCTGACCTATCAAAATACTGAGCACTTTCAGCTCCAGGGCCACAAAATGTCTTTCATCTTACCCATTCTACCATTCTTGAGTAGGCTTTTAGGACATGAGCCAGAAGTAAGATCGAATAAGCTGCCACTATTAAAAATAACCATTACATCATGCGATCTTTTTGGACCTTTCATATTCCGTTGCAGCGGTGGCCTGTAGCATGGTTGGATTTAGCGTGTACGCGGTGACAGGGCTGGTGAGTGCGATTTAAAGGTGATAAAGAATCTGAACTGGAAAGGCTTTGTGGTCCTGGGTTTATGATCTTCACAGAGCATCTCTCTTCAGTATCTCAATAGAAAAGTTCTTTTGATGCCTCTAGGAGATGCAGAGAAGATCTGGTTACCATTTCTCAAGAATTCACTGATGAATGGTAGGGAATAGGGAAGTAAATGTGTTTAAAAATCAGCAAGATTCAGGAGCTTGATTTCAGTGGACATTATTCTTGCTGCCTGGCACTCGCGTGTTCCCCAGAAAAGGGAACTGTGGGCTGGTCAGAACAATGCTGTTCCCATAGTGCTATTTAGATCTATGCAGTTTGATTTTTCACTTTAAAAAATTAAGCAAGCTCAGGTTGATTTATTTTTAAACAATATGTTGTAATAATTTGTAAAAGCTGTTTGCTCTGATCGGTGTCTTCATACCATGACTTGTTGGGGGGTGGGTGTGGCTTTTTTCCTTTTAGTTTAGCATCCTTAAAGGAATGGGTTTCTGAGCCAATTAATTGCGTTCTGTGCTTCTGGGTGTGACTAAAAATGCTTCAGCCAGACAGTTCTTCTCTCCACTACTCTTTACAGAGACGCAATAGCTTCTTTTAAAAGCAATATTTCTACTGTAAAGCAGAATAATAATGATGTCTGTTAAATTGCTCCATGATTCCCTGGTTTGTCATGCAGTCTTTGAAGTTGAACAGCGATGCTTCCTAGTTTGGTACAAAGGCTTCATTTAGAAAAATAGTTATTGGGGAAAACGCTTTGTCAGAATTGTGTACTAAGAATTCTCCTTTCTAGGGAATTTCTTGAAGTTACCCAGATTTCAGTAAGCATGTTCTCTAACTGAAAGCATTTTTGCAGGCTCAAGGGAGAATCTATGGAAAACTTAAAGAAGAAAATTTCTTTGGCCCTAAAGAAGAAGTGAAACTTGAAGCTCATATAAAAGTGCCATCCTATGCTGCTGGTAGAGTTATTGGTAAAGGAGGCAAAACAGTAAGTAGCTGAATTAAAACTTTTAGCGTTGTTCAGTGATGTTTCTTAGTTCAGTGTGTGCATATATGTAAAAGGCTTAAATATCTAGCTAATGAATAGCTAATCCGTTGAAGTGATGTTAAAGCAGGTGTTATTTTCTTAGCTGTACTTGTTAAGCTTTCCTTTCTTCTGTTGTGGAGTCAAAGTGAAGATGATCTCATAGAAAGATTTATTTTGTCAAAAAAGTCTAACAAAAATCGATAGTGTCAGTCAGATCTGCAAGGCTTTTATTAATACAGAAGTAGCACTTCCATTTAGAACGAATATGCTACCACTCAAGACCAGCTTCTGTGAACCTTAGGTTATGTCAGATTTTGCGAAAAGATTTCACTGATCTCATGTAATTAAATCAAATCCAATGTGTCCAAAGGTGCCATTTCCAGCCAAAACTGAGCGAAAGCATAACTTCTAAAAAAGTCGTAGGAAACTAAGATGTTCAGACCTCAGTTATGACAAATACTGTAAATATTGATTTGCTTTAAATTAATTGATGGCATTTCTTACGCTCAGCTTGCTGCAGAAAATAACATCACTGAGACTTTTTCAATCCTGCAAAGGTGCCGGCATTCTAGTATTTTCCTATGGTTGTAAGTCAGGAGCTGGTATTTGCCAAAATATGGTTCAGTCTCGGCTCTCCATCCTTGAGTGCAATGGGGTCTTGAAGTTAAGTGTCAGGAGGCAACGTGGCCTCTTTCATTGCTTGCAGTGGTAAGAGGGTTAAGGACAAACATCTCTGAAAAGCTGTTCATCTAAACCATTTTTGATTAAATAATGCATAGCATTTAATAAAAAATGCTAAAAAATGCTATGCATTTCTAAAATGAGTGTAAACAGGACTAAGGCTCTAACCTTCTCTCCACTTATCACTACGGAAGCTGATTAGCTACTGAAAAGAATTTGGGCACTTCTCATTGTTCTGTTCGGAGTTCTCCATCTTGTGGAGCCTTTTCAAGGAACGATGTATAAATACTTGGACTTGTTTCTTCCCTACTTATACATTGCATGAGTTTTCTGACCTTAAACTTGTAAACTCAACTGTAACACTGTGGCATCTGTTTGCTTTTTTGTCGTGTATTTAACACCTTCTGTGTGTTGTATTTGATCTTTAAAACGCTTTTACAAACCTAGAGAACTTGGTGCTAATTTATGTTAGAGACACAAGAGGCTCATCCTGCAGAGTGCACGCTGCTTTTTTCCACAAAAGAGTAATGCTTTTGGTTAGTGGGTTTCTCTTTTTAAAGGATGATGTTTCTGTGGTCAGCAATATCTTTGAGGCTTGGTGGTTGGAAGTTTTTCTGACTTGTATTATCTATTTGCAGGTAAATGAGCTTCAAAACTTGACAAGTGCAGAAGTTGTAGTCCCTCGTGACCAGACACCTGATGAAAACGATCAGGTGGTTGTGAAAATAACTGGTCACTTCTATGCATGCCAGGTAGGAGGACTGGAATGAATTTCTGTATTACCTTGATGTTTCCATGATCTGTCTTTTATATCCATGTGCAGAGCCAAGGGATGGAAGGCTTTTACTCAGGATAGAGAAAGCACTGCTTGCCAGGCTCCTCTAGCTGTCTGGCTGCAATAAACTTTCTTCATGCCTGTGAGAGATTTATAACGATATTGCACTGTTACATATGTAATAATCTCCTTAAATTCCATTGATATATGTAGGCCCCAGCACTGCTAAAACTTTCAAAGCACAAGAAAACCCAATTTGTGATTGGATTGAGATTCGGATGGAGACAGAAGCCATCTCGTAGTACCTGGCACGAGTTGCAATTTGTCCATATCGCCCAATTTGTTGATTTAATATCGTAAAGAAAAGGAACACGAGATTCCTTCCCTCACTTAACCCTTAGTTCAGACCCACTCCTTTTGCTACTTTGCCACAGGTGACCTATAGTTCAGAGAGATGGGAAGGCTGGTCATTCCTGTAAGTCTGACCTTCTGGATTCCCTGGTGTATAAAAAAACAATCCTCTGTTCTCTATTGAAACCGTGTTTCTTGTAAAACATTAGTATCTCCAGAGGAGTAAAACGGAAGTAGCCTGTGGCTTCAATAATCTTAACGTTGGTAGTCACCTTCCTATGCTCACGCTTTCTATATTACAGATGTGAAAACTGACCATGTGGGTAGTTGTGGTAGGTGGAAAAAGAAAAAAAATTTTAAATTCAGTTGTACATCATGACTAACTCAAGTGTACTTTAACTATCGAGTAGTCTTGCCAGTACTAGGGACTTAGTTATTCCAGATTCTCTTAATCCCAGTAGCATCTATAGTCGGTGGTAAACAGCAGTCAGCGCAGCACGGCATCATGACGGGTTGTTGTTTCTTCTTTGTGCCTTTCAGCTTGCTCAGAGAAAAATTCAGGAAATACTGGCTCAGGTAAGAAGGCAGCAGCAACAGCAAAAAACATTGCAAAGCGGACAGCCTCAGCCAAGACGAAAATAAAGGTTTAGGAAATGGCCCATCAGAGACAGATGCCAGACCAAAGACAGACTGTGCGACAGAGAGACGGGTGGTGAGCACCTGTTGAAGTTATATGCAGAAGATCCACCAAGCCAATCACCTGTTCGAGGACCAGGCAACCGTTGAACGCTGTCTCTGAGAATGTATTCTTTAGGCTCTCTCAAACTTTTGAAACCCAGCTTTAAAATAAGGACCCCTTCACTTCCCTTTTGTTCTATTCTCACAATTTAACATAAACTCGTTAGTCTTTTTTATTGTTCTTATTATTCCCCAACAATTTTAGAACTTGGTTTAATGAAGCTTTCTCTTCTGAGTTCACTGGTTAAAAAAAAAAAGAAAAGATAAAAACAACAAAAAAAGAAAAGGCATTGCTCTTATAGGTCCAGTTGTAAAAGAAACACATTTGGAGGGTGGGATTGCGGGTGGGCTAGGGTTAGAGCAAGGGTATTGACAAGAGTTTAAGTGTTAGTCCCAACGTTGAAACAAGTGGCATTTTTTAAAAAGAATTTGGTTGCATTTTTACATAACACTGCCATGAATAACCTAAGGGAAGTGTTGAATGGTGTTGGCCAGGGCATAAAAAGATAAATATGCATTTTACTAAACTACCTCAGGCATTTAGTACCTCAATGAGAAATTGTTCCTTTTTTGCTTTTTTTTTTTTGGTATTTTGTATACTTTATAAAGCTAATAGTTCTTGAGCATTTTATTTTTTTAAAAAAAAATTAAAATTTGATCAGCCACCAGCCAGGAGTACTACAGACTTATCGGGGGAAAAATATAGTAGAGCGCTTCTAGCTGCTGGCTGATGGGAGTAAGGTGGGTAAAAAAAAAAATAGCCTCAGATTTTCTGAGGGCTTCAACACCATCATTTGTTTAAAAAAAAAAAAAATTCAGTGAATGTTCAAAAGATAGTGAATGATGCCAACATTCTGATAGCAGCAATGCCGTTTAGTTTTCTTTTAAGATGGGATGAAAAAGTTTGTGACGGTACTTTTTTGGGAACAGGACAAGGAAGTGATGGCAAGAGGCTGGGGTTGGGGGAAAAATTGAGAAGGCTGCAAGAGGCTGAATTTTTTTTTTGTGCTACTTGATTGAATGCATGAACCCTTTGTGCCTTTGACCATCACTACCTAATAATGCTACATTTAACCATTTGCAGCCCATTTGGACTTTGCCATTTTGTTCAAAGAGCAAGCTTCATCTTCAGTTTGATAGAACACTCGATCTGCTAGAGCGTATCGGAGGCCGCGAGGGTCTCTGCTGTCTGCAGGTCACATCATACTGCTTTCAGTTACCACGATGGGGGAAGGTCAAACAGTGTTTGATCACATTGAAAGATAATGAAAGGCTAAGTTTACATATCCAGCCGCTGTTATGGGCCACACTAAGCCACTTTGAAGGTTTTAAAAACTATTACAAGAAAAAAAAGAAAACAACAAACAACCACCTCTCTAGCCTGGCTTATAATAGATGCAGCAGGATTTATGCACGTTCTGCAACCAACCATTAGAGAAGAAAAAAAAAAAATGTCAAAAGGCAGGGATAACAGGAAAGTTACCAAATTTTTTAATTTCCGAATGTAATTTGAATGATGATTGTGGTAATAGTGACACATTCAAGTTTCTACAATAAACTTCAGTCTACCTCAGTTTAAGAAAAAAAAAAAATTATGTGGCAACACATGGTGCATAAAGACTGCTGTGTGTGTGTGTGTGCGCGTGCGCGCCTGTATGTGTGTGGTCGACAGAGCCATGCTATTACCTCTGAACCTTTTTTTTGTGATGTTTTTTGTGCATGAGATGATCAGAATCACCATGCTGCACTGATTTGAGGGGCACAACGAGCAAAAACATTTGTTTCATCATTTTGTTATCTACCTCTTAGGTTCATGTTGAAATAGAGGCATTACTACATAGACTAGATAATTTTCCCAAAGATCATTGTTGTACAGATTAGATAATTTTGAAAATGGTCTGAAGTGTTTTTTCCTGCATCTCTTCTTTACTAATTGGTTTAAAAACCACAAACTTATGTTGTAGTTTTAGCAAAGAAAAATGAGTTTCTTTTCCTTTTTTGACAGTGACCTTCATCTAGCCTTTAGGATAATTTTTTTTCTTACAATGAATTTAAAATTACTGAAGTATGAGAAGTCATAGCATTTTAATTTTTGTTGAGGCTTAAGTCAGTCTGACGTTCCTTTCTTAACATTTGAGAAGGATTTGACATCATGATTTTCCATAAAAATTACTTTACAAATAGGTGCTGCATTTACATCTGCTGATTTAAACACTGTCATCTCTCTTAAATTTCTAGACTTAGTATGGTAAATCATGTTTTTCTTTTCAATTGAGACTTGGTAATTTGGAGTATTTGGGAATAGCTAGAAAGTAAATACTGTAAATGATTTCAACATCCACAAAGTATGGATCATTTTTCATCTGTAATGTGCCCCCCAATGCAGCTCCACTTGCCAGATGCCTCTGAATGGAATAAAGAGTTTAACTCCTATCATCAGATAAAGTTGTGTGGTGTGTTTTTAAATTAATGAGGCATAGGGACAGACTGTTCTAAGTATTTGTGGTATTTTGATCAAGTTGGTTTTCTGTCCATAATAATAACTGGATAAGGATGAAGAGTCACCCACAAGTATTCCATAGCTGCTAGGGCATCCAGCAGCCAGGTTACAAAGTTTGCACTTCCCAACAAGAAGCAGTGACTTCTATGGCTTGTAATTCCTCTCCTCCCTCTCATGTAACAATGCTACACAGTCTGTAGCACAACCTCTAGTCCACGGTGTCAGTCTTGGGCAGATCACTTACGCTGATTTGCTGTGGAAGGGATGTGTACTCAACAGCCCCAACCCAGGGGAAACACAAAGGAGTCTTTTAGCAGGTTTGAAGTGAGATCTGAATTGCAGGTTTTTTGGGGGGGTTTTTTGGCCGCTTTTTACCCAGTCTTTACTTTGGTGCTCTCGGTGTGACGAAGCTGCGTCATGAAGCTGGCCCTAGAAGCTTGCATAAGCAGGACTAGTCACGCTAGCAAGCAAATGTGACGGCAACCTGTATCTCACTCCTACCACCCAAACATACACCACTTGCCAGTGAGGTGGTACTGCTTCTCCATTTAGATCCTTGCTAATGTTATTTGGAATAGAAATGAGACTAGATGTTTAACTGAAGGCTTTAGAGTGAGAGGGAGGGGTTGGGGAATGAAGGAGCATCATGAATAATATAATTCTGTATCTTTTAAAGGGGAGTAGGAAACCAAACTTGTTTTCCAAACTCTTGCACCCTCCCACTTGTCTTCACAGCTCATTTACTGGGACCAACCAGCCCAAAGAGGGAATTGAAGAAATGATGTCTGTAGAAGACATTGCGTAGGGTATTGCATTTCACAGGGAACTCTTAAGCTCATTTTTCCATGCCAATACTTGAGCTATCTTCTCAGAACCAGCATCCCTGCCATTTGAGCAACGTAAGAAGTTAAGCCTTCCTCTGTATCGCTGGTGCACTTGTGACAGCTAAACTCCTGTTTTAAGCATTTGCTTAACCATGATGCTTTTATTTGCTTCTAACCTTCCAAAGCTTTTACTCCTAAGCTGCAATTTCAAAGGCATGCGCTCGTTGTGTTAGTCTCCATTAAATGAAGCATGTATGCTGTGCAGGACAGCATGGTCTTGACATGGTACTAGGGCACAGGACTCTTAAGCGAAACTGAAAAATTGTGGAGCGAGCACTCGAGCTGGGCTGTAACAGATGTTAGCTCAACTGGGGGATGCAAACGCTGCTCGAGAATGAAGTTACTCCAATGCAGTGCAGGAAATACTGAAATGATGACAAAAGTTCCACCTTGGTAACTGTTTCTCCTGTTCACCCTGTCATCCCAGGAATCCCCCATGGAGCCAAACCTGCAGGTACCTCTGTACAGGAGCACTGAATGATGAATCCACAGACTCGATGGACAAGCTGCTCAGTATTTTTTATTTTACACAGAAATCACCTGATCCATAGAACTGAAACCATTCCCAAATGTTTTCCTTCCAAAAGGGGTTTAATGTTGCACAGTACTGATCATCCACCCTCTCTGTCAATTCCCAAGGCTCAGCTTCTAGGAGAGTCAGGCAGGTTACCTGGCTGGGGCATCGCACCAGCTCAGTGCAGGTTATGACTGCTGCTGTTACGTGAGCGAGGAGGAAGTTCTCTTCCTGAGCTGGCAGTTCTGATTATTTAATAGCACCCAGTGGATGCTCCATGTAACTCCTTTTCACAATGTGCTTTGGCAGTAAATTCAGTTACATTTTCATTTTTTTACTGAGTTTTGTCTCCTCAGTTCATTTGATTTTTTTTTTGTCTTGTCTTGCAGACTCTTACCCCTTTCCAGCTGTAAGAGTCCTAATCTGTTCACACAGAAGCTGGTTCCTCTCTCTACCTGTTCTTTTCTGGGTGCTCCTTTTGTCACTGTGCTCTGACACAGCACACTATGCAGTTCTGGCTACTAAATGTGGGTTCATGTAACGGTGTGGTGTTTGCTGAACCCGCCTCTATTAACCTAGCATCGCTTATCTTCAGCGGCAAAAGGCAAGTGGTTTCAGGGAATGATCCAAAGTTACTCCTATGTATCCCTCCTAGGAGGAAATGCCTGATTTAGAACCCCTCACTCTGTAAGACAGCCAGGGTTAGCTTTCCCCCACGTGGATTACTTATTGATAAATACCATGAAGGGTTCTGAAACTCTCCTTGCAGGCTGACTTACCAATACCTTTATTTCATGGGAAAAGATGTTTTATCTGCATAGTTTAACTACATTTGATAAATGCTCCTTGCTTAATTTGCAGAACTATCTGCTGCCTTGTACCAAAGAGCGGGTGAACTCAGGGGCAGTTATTCCTGAAAGAAGAGAGACTAGACACAGCAAGATGACCAGCCTGAAATGAGGGAGAAAGGTTTTGGCTTTTGTTTGGTGGTGGTTTTTTTTTTTTTTTAAATACCACAACCACAGGCACAAAAACCAATGTAACTTTCATTGAGCATTACAAACAGCAGCTGCTGTGCAAGGAAGCGATGCAGACAAGGCTTGAAATAGTTTGTGGGGGCTATGAGTGAAAAAGGTGATTACCCTCAGGAGATTTACTGTTCCTGCTTCCTGATGCATGGGAGAGCAAGCTTCTCCAGAAGGAAGCAATCCTAATCTAGTGATGAAAGCCCTGTCCTGTAGTGGAGAAAAGCACCTTGTTTAACATAAACAAGTTCTGTTACTGTCTTGAAGCTTGTCAAGTGGTTATTAGCCCACGCAGCAGTCAGTCAAAGAACACGCTGCGCAATGACTTCTGCAAGTGCTGAACAGTCCATTAGCAGCA